ACAAACCGCCTCTATTGTTTTGCCTTGCCTGTTACCTAACAGAGTGGGATCATTGAATCTAACCAAAATGCAATGCAGTTATATGAAACACCTTCTATTGAGCTTGATCATATAACTGCAGTTATATTATCAAGTTCACTACAAGGTGTTTGGCCATTCGTATGGTATACTTAGCACAGGTAATAACCGCAGAGCTGAATTATGAGACTAAAGTAACTAGAAGAATAAGAATGGGGTGGACAACATTTGGGCAATCACTCTCATATCTTGACTAGTAGATTGCCACTATCTCGAAAGAGGAAGGTATATAACAGCTGCATCTTGCCGGTACTGAGCTATGGAGCAGAGATTTGGAGGTTTACATTGGGCGTTCAGCTAAAGTTGAGGACGACACAGCGAGTAATGGAAAGAAATTGATAAGTGGTAACCTTACGAGACAAGAGAAGAGCAGGGTGGATCAAGGAACAAACCGGGGCTAAATATATTATAGTGGAAATCAAGAAGAGGAAATGAACATGGGCCGGGCATGTAGGGCGTAGAAAGTATAACCGTTGGTCATTAAGGGTAACTAACTGGATTTCTAGAGAGGCAAGTGGTTAGGGGAGACAGCAAGTAGATGGGCAGACGAGATTAAGAGTTTGTGTGTATAAAATGGCAGCAGCAAGCACAGGACCGAATTGATCGGCGGAACATGAGAGATGCCTTTGTCCTGCAGTGGACGTAGTCAGGCTGATGCCTCCAATAACGGCAGCCATCAATTCCAACCGCGACAATTCTTTGCGTTGGACTGGCGCAAAGTGGTGTCGTGTCGCACTAAGAGGAGTCTTGAGGAGCAGCTGCTGGTGTGACTCGGGAAGGCGGCAAGTTCCACCTTCATACATCTCCTGGCTGATGCAAATGACTGAAGTTTGTCTCAGTAATGGATGGATGAAAAACTTTTATTAGGGTCTTGAAGGATTCCATTCCTGTTTTATGGGAGTAGGATTGCGGGCCGCTCCCACGTTGGGACGGGAGGCCCAGCCTCACCGCCGCATCGTGGGCATACTGGACAGCCTTGAGTTGTTGTATAAGAACCGGACTCGTGAGCATTAAATAAAGGAGTTCTCAGAAAATTCTTCATTTTTTTGTAAAGAGGGGCGCCTCCAGAGCATGTGGTTAAAATCACTGCGATTCTGGCAGTCCGTACAAACTTCTGAAATATCGGAGTAATAACTGTAGGTTACGAGGCTAGGGTATCTTCCCGTCTGAAGCATGTGAAGAGAGATTGCCTGTGGCCTAGACAACTTTTCGGGTGGCAATAGAAAGGACCTACGGCCTAATTGATAATGCTTCTTGATCTCGTTGAAGGCGGTCAAAATGTCCCTAAAATAAAGCTGGGGGCTGACTCCTCTGTCTGAGAAGCACAAGTCCCGGCTTGGTAAGTGAAGCCTCGCGCCTTGGAGTGGGCTAGCTCGTTGAATTTGGGAAGGCTTCCGACCCTCAAGCCAACGGGAGCAGGGAACCAAATAATTGTGTGGTGGGTGAGTTCCTTGTGAGCGAGAGTTCTCAAAACTTCCTTGCACATGGAACCAGAAGCGAAGGCCCTAGCAGCGGATTTAGAGTCAGTATAAATATGAGTCCTTTGTGGATCAAGGAGTGCTAGCGCAATGGCCATCTGTTCTGCTTTGTAAGAAGAAGTGGTTCGAACCGACGCCGAGGATAAAATCTGACCCTTAGCATCTACGGATACTAACGCAAAGCGAGCGGAAACGCCATACTGGGCGGCATCAACAAAGCATGAAAACAGACGAGTGTTTGTGAGCTTGAGCTAAATGAGAGGAGGCTCGAGCGACTACCCCCGCGTTGTACTGTGGATGCATATTTCGTGGAAGGGGGCACACTTCGATGCGAGAGCGTATATAATAATCGAGTGGCGTATTTTGCCCATCGAGCGTCAGGGGCTTGACTCCAGTGTCAACCAGATTCTTTCTCCCCGCTGGTGTAATCAAAAGCCTGGCAACCTGTGTTTCTTAAATTATAACGACATCATGAAGTAGTTCATATTAATACCACACAGGAACGTCGCCCGGGTATCAGAATTTAACAAGTAGTTATCGCTTATTGTAAATGTGGCGCAAAGGGACAAAAACAATATGTGAATACCTTTAGTGAATGGGCACTAAACAGTGAGGGTAGGTTTCACTTCCGAATGTGTGGTCAGCAATACGCTATCACGCTCACGTCTTGATCAGTAAACTACGTTAATATGTACCTACACCAATCAAAAAAAAAGGTAAGATGTCCTGCGCCGCTCGGTTACATGTGACCACAAGGAGTGCTTTCCCGAGGCGATTCGGAGGTCACGTCGTCGGCTCCTTGTCTAGGAGCTTTCTCGGTAAATTTTCGCACGGCCCCTTACCTGAGGAAAGTCGCCTACTCCTGTAGCCTGTGTGCAATGAATGAATGAAGTACTGCTGAGGCACTGTAAAACGGCTTCAAGATTAACAAAAAGTGAAACGTAAAGCGGGTATAGCAAAATTTTCTGTCAGTGAAGTGATTGCTGCCGACGGTCAATCAAGGCGTGGGGCATTTTCGCTCTCTAAGCTTGACTATCCACTTCTTGCTGAGCTTGCGGTTTTGAATAGTTGTGAAATCTTATGCCATTTTTATGGATGGAGCATTATAGAGAGGTACAGAGCAGTACTACTGCATTGCTCAATGCGCCGCACTCACTGTGGAGGACAATGAGGGCACAGCTTTGAAAAAAACAAAGCGTTGTGTTTTTGAAGTGAGTGGTGAAATCAGACACCCACGGTGGTTAGAACAGCGTAGGTAGCCACCACGCACAAGATAGTCAATTTAACTGCTTCTGTGTTAAGTTTTATCACAACGGTAGTTTCTATATGTCGTCGCGCCTCTAAAGCACGCCAATACTTGAACTGACGTCATAACGCATGCTTGCAGCACCGGCTTCAGTCGCACACTAGGCTATTAGGCACTATACCAGTCAAACTTTTCGCTGAAAACCGAATACTGTTGGGTCCTTCCGTAATGACCCTTCTATTGCTGAAGCGGAAACTAGACGTGCTAGTTGGCACAGGGTACTATTATGCCGAGAGCAGGTATATCACATCTTAATATACACACATTTAATTCCTAGCAAGCCTGGTGCACTGAAGTAAGCTTTAGACGCTATATGTACATTGACTGAAACGCTACCTCACGTTACAGCTCATCCAGCACGGACAGGAAAGTGCGCTCGAGCTACTGGAACCAGACATGCTCGAAGCCACTATCTCCGCATACACTTGGCACTTACGTCGACATTGCTGCCGAAAGATTTGGTGATCGTGTTGGCTGGTCATTTCTTCAAGAAGGCAAGCACTGCACCTTCAGGGACTTCAAACAGCAGGTGGGTCCTTGAGTGGCTGAGTTGGTGATCAAGGGGGGTAGTTGTACAATGATGAGCACGACTGCGTCGTCTGAGCCCTTCAGATAGCATACCCCGCACCTAGAATCATCAAGGCATCTTGGCATTAGTGGAGCAAAGCCTGAAAATACTGTGCAGCCGGACGGTCATCGTCTCTTTATTTTAACACCGAAGCTGTTCTAGCTCGCCCTAGTTTGTGCGCTGCCACAAACCCCTCAAGATGGTTTCCGATGTCGTCTTTATGTAAAAATAAGTATTTAATATTTATATAGTGTGCTTCATATGTATAGATATCTGTCTCAATGTGAACTGACCTTTTATGTTAAAATTGTGTACATACGTATCTAGTGTAAACTGAACTTGTATGTAGAAAATGTGTACATATTTTGTACATACCTTAATGTTCCATTTCATTTTTATTGCAGTAATTTCTTTAAATATGATTAATGATGCCAACAGAAACAAGGATATTACCAACACCAGAAATGGTAAGCTAATACGTAAGTCGCAAATGCGCTTGCGAGAATGGTAGGCATAAATTGGGCTACGTCAACCAAGTTCAATGAATACAGCTTTACTACAATTGACACTGACCCTACGTGATGGCGGTATTGTAGTATATATTTATTCTTGATAATATTAAATAACATGCACTGACACCAAAATTGACGCTTTGCGAGCATTATACGCGCGCATATGATCTTCTTCCAAAGGAGTTTGGTGTTTGAGGGTGTGGTGTGGATGTGTAGTAAAATATTTGAATGTCATGCAGAATGCTTGGGCTCGATTCTTGCCAGGACACAAATAATATGGGGAAAGTCGTTATGAAACCAGAACACAGGTCACGTGCGGTGCCGTATATAGTTGTCCACCACGGTAGCTGGCAGTGTCTGCAATTGATATGACAAAAAATGAGAAAAAAAAGCTCAGTAATAAATGACATTAGGACACAATAGGATTAGAACCTGCATCCGCTTCGTGCCAACCCTGTATTCTATACCACTGAGGGACGCCGACGCTTCAAAGTTATGTCTAAACTGGCTCTAGGCAGGCTTGATATCGGGAAAGTAATCGCGTTAGTATAAGTACTAAAACGCTACAGATCATCAAAGGAACAACGAGGCGTCCAACAATGCGAATTACGTAAAGAGTGGGTCGTCCAATGATCCAACCCATTACAAAAGCTTGTTGTTCATCTATTAACTGTGGCGCATACCCCCTTCTGGCATAGTTTTTCATCGTTGTCAACCACTGCATAAAAATACTGCACAATATTCCTGTAGCAGCCTCATAGCGGATACTACGCTTCTCTGAAGAATTCTGAAAGATAGCATCGGGAATTGTGGCCTACTACACAAAATTATGAGTATTTGTGGTGTACTGTGTACCCAGAAGTGTGCCTCTAGTAGTTATTCATGGTGTTGAGAATAGGCTCTTAAAGGCCGCTCTTCTAGCTGTCGCCGTGACAGTGCTAGCTGCGCGTTCCGTGCAGCCCCTGCCGTTTTTTATTCTTTACATTTGTTGAATCAACGCTGCCACTCTCAGTTTTTAAATGCAAAGCACTTCTTAGCAAACTTTGGATACTGGATACTTTGAGCGTATCTATTTATCGATCGATCTATCTATATATCTATCTATCTATTTAGCCGCTTACGTTTGGTTCCTCTTCTGGTCACCCCCTTAACTTGGCGTGAACCAAAATTAGTATGGGAGGGTAAGATGAAACGTCGAATATGACGCGCTGGTCAAGACATGAATAATGTCACAATCCCGTCACCTACGTCGTCAAACACTTCCCGTCAGACATTTGCACATAACCATGGATGGTTATGTGGCACTGGTATGCGGGCATGTGCAACAGGTGATTGACGATTGATTGATATGTGGGGTTTAACATCCGAAAACCACCATATGAATATGAGAGATGTCGTAGTGGAGAGCTCCAGAAATTTTGACCACCTGGGGTTATTTAACGTGCACCCAAATCTGAGCAAACGGGCCTACAACATTTCCGCCTCCATCGGAAATGCAGCCGCCACAGCCGGGATTAGATCCCGCGCCCTGCGGGTCAGCAGCCGAGTACCTTAGCCACTCGACCACCGTGGTGGGGCATGTGGTTGACACATAGTATCTACCAAGGAGCGATGAGAACACACACGGCAATTTTAACACGCGAGCGTTAAAAAATACCTGACTTCGGAAACGTTGACCCAACGAATAAAAAGAATAAATGTCAGGGTCCAGCTTCAATCGAATCCGAACATTCTGCGTGGCAATGAAGCTTTTCACCACAGAGCTAAGCCAGGTCTCTCAACTACTGTTCAATAGAAGCTAATCTTCGTAAAACGTCAATAGTGGTTGCAGTTCTGCCTACCCAATTTTATAAACATTATATATGTACTCCTTTTATACAGCCGTCGCGTCGGGTTAACGTCAGTTGTGGTTAGTTGCCATGCGCTGAAGTTTATTTATCTAGCACTGTCCAGGGTCAGTATCCTCGCGAGCATCAGCGCTTCATATCAGCTTCTGGTGTGGCAAATACCCATGTTCCAGTTGGCATCGTTGCACAAGTGCAATCAACTGGGTATATAAACATCTGCAACTCTTCAACAGATATCTGTGAGTGCAACATTTGTACATAGGTTTATCGTAATTTCATGGCGTGTCACTCAATAAAAATTTGCAACATTTTCACCTTCCTTCCGCGTGCTTCTCATAACGTAGATTCCCGGGTACGTGAAATTTGCTGAGTTTTTTTTTTCTTATTGCTTGCACATATTACAATGTATTGATTTTATTTAGAATAGTTGGTTTCGGACATAGTTATATAACAACATGAAGTATATCGCCGAGGCAAGGCAAAAGAAGACTCGTACGTCTCCTCACAAGGCCTTCACCCTAGACTCTCACGTTGGACAGCCACGAGCAAAACCAGAGAAAATAGTTAACATGTCCAGAATAATAAGTACAGAGAAACGAGAAAAAAATAGGTGCAATGCTGATTTCACAGCTTATATATAAGCGAAATTGAAAAGCAAGATACCATGAGAACAAAAATTATTCAAAGTTTACAATGGTAAGATTTAACAAACTTAGAAAGTTATACAAATTAAAAAAAGTGCATAATTTTCACGTTATTACCAAAACAAGTGTCTATTTAGAGGAGACAGAAACAGTTACTTCTGTTGTTTCTTTTTTACATAACGCACTTGAGTTTTGATTGGCCAATTCGATTAGGAATAGGTATGCAATGAACAATGCAATTAGCCGCAATTAGTCCTTGGTTTTGATCCCGTGAAAGTTTTGTGCGAAGGTCACATGCTAATTCTCTTTATAGATATTTGTTTCAGAACATGGCATGATCATATTACAATTCGCTGAAAACTATTGTTGCCAATGAAAACTGCTATATTTCAAGAATGGTGGCACGTTCAGAGTTTTATAACAAGATTCGGTTGATGAGGGAGAATGAGTTGAAACCAATTTTAAGCTTGTTTTTTGTAAAGAGGAAACACGTTCGGCATCAGTCTTGTTGCACGAACGCCAGACAAGGTGACAATATGTTATCTGAGAATGACTACAAGTGAAATTGCTTTCTAATGCGCTACGGCAATAAATGTTTTTAGCCTGCATACCATACCAAGAAATCTCGATAACGTTGCATGAACATAATTTATGTGCTCAGACCAGCTGAGGTCAAACCTAAAAACGACTCGCAAGATTCGGCAAGAGCAGACGGGATGTACTATATTTTTGTTGATAGTAATTCTACGTTATGGAGAAATAGTTTACATTTTGGATAAAATATTACCTACTGTGTTTTGTATTCACTTAAGTTTATTTCGCTCACAATAAGCCAGGTATGCAGTGCGTTTAGCCAAATATTAGCACGCCACTCTAACTAATTTAGATCTGAACTTGAAACGAAAACGATGGCGTCATGAGCATACATGACAATGACGGGAGTAAAAGGAATGTTAGCAATGTCATTTATGCATAAACGAAAGACCGAAAATAGAACACATAGGTACCTAGGAAAATAGAACACATTGGAACACATAGGTACCATAGTTTATTTTACCCGAGTGTTATTTCAATTCGTGAAGCTGTGTATATTGCATTCTACATTCGACGTAGCTTTTTAATAATATAAGGGCCAGTCCACGAATACCATATGTTCTTAGCTTTTGAAACAAGATTTGGTAATTGAATGAATGAAATGTTTTTTGTAATGTCAAGAAATAATCCCACTGTAAAATGTCTATCATTTGTAATATAAATTACGAATGCCTATATCCCTCTGTTCCTTGGCAGATATATACGAACTATCACTCAGCTGTGGCACATACCTGCATTTTGTAGTCCGTGTTAAGCGGGTATGTCCAGATTAATAGGTTTTGGCAACTTACGTGACGCAATCTTCACTTTATTCATGTCATGCCTTACCATACGTAATATTTGAATCCCTTTATCCTCTCATACTAATTTTCGTCTACACCAAGCGTAGAGGGTGATCACGAGACCACTCACAGGTAGGCAGATAGATAGATAGATAGACAGACAGATAGATAGATAGATAGATAGATAGATAAATAGATAGATAGATAGATAGATAGATAGATAGATAGATAGATAGATAGATAGATAGATAGATAGATAGATAGATAGATAGATAGATAGATAGATAGATAAGTTTAAAGTGCCTGCAGTTCACTAAGATGTGCTTTGCAATTAAAATTTAAATGCGTGCCACCGACATGCGAACGTGAAATGCCTCGCTCCACAGCGCGTGATGGTAGACAGTTTAGCGACGTGCCATTTGTGCTCTAGCATACGAACGGTGAGCCATTCGTATGCACCATATGTGCAGATTGCGAAGTCTCTTTGTCGTTTTCTCTCTCACCGGAGAAATGGCGTGAAGGACGAGTTTAAGAGCAACGCCCCAACATTTCCTTTTAAATCGTAAACTTCCCTTGTTAAGC